AAAAAAAAAAAAAAAAAAAAAAAAATTGATTGCTTAGTCAACATCAAGCAACTAATCAATCAATCGATCAATCAAGATACGTATACCGACAGTCTGTTGGGGTAACATCAATAAGTACACATAGATTGATTAATGGATTAACATCAATCAATTAATCAATTAAACAATTAATCAATTAATCAATCGATGCATACGTATGAGAAAAAATATATATATATTGTACATATAATCTCAGAGTGACAGGTGGACCGTCGGGAGAAAGGGAGAAAAGGACAAGAGACTGGGGGCGGTAACAGACTGTTTCGTCGGATTCGATGATGTGTATAATCATTAACATCAATCTTTCTTCAGAAACGTCTACGTTAAGATCATTCAGTTCCACAATAAAAATCATCAATGATCAAACATAATCATCAATCTTATCATCAATCTTATCATCAATCTTACCATCAACCAATCATGAGTCATCAATCAATCATCATTCATCAGCAAATCTACCATCAAGCTAAGATCCTCAATTCATCACTTATCCTCCGAACCTTCTGATCAATCTATTTCTTTATCATCAAACATCTAGCAACGATCATCAATCACCAATCAATCACCAATCAATCATCATCCATCAGCAAATTTATCATCAAGCTAAGATCATCAATCTGTCACTTATCATCAAACATTATCATCAATCTATTATTTATCATCAGACATCTATCATCAATCGAAGGCCATCACATCCCAATGCACTCAATCTACTCGTCGCTCATCGACAAGAAAGGAATAATCATCAATCATCAATTAGACAGCTGTGCCCAAAGTAATGGGTTGTTTAAATTGGACTTCTCGGTATACTTGCTGTACTAAATGTAAGCTTTGCAATTTGATTTTGAAAAAATAATAATAATAATAATAAATCTATATTTTATATTTTAAATATAAATCTATATTTTACATTTTAAATTTTACATCTTAAAAATATCAAATCTCAAAATTTTATTTTAATTCCAGTTTTTTTTTACGCGGACGAGGAGCGAGGCGATGAAGAAAGAAGAGGACAGGGAAGCGCTGAGGGGCGGTGGAAAAGTCGAGGAGAGGAGAGGAGAGGAGAGGGTACCGGGGGTGCAGAGCAGGAAAGAGGGAATGTGGATGTGTGGACCTTACACGCAATCAAATTTACTGGTCGTACTCCTACCGCCTTCCCTCGAACACAACGCACCCTGATACCGAATGTATACAAGCTATCTTTCCGGCCCGGTTCAGCCAAAACGAGGGTACGTTGTGGTCGGGGGAAAAGACGGTATGGTCAGTATTCCACTGCTAAGTATCAACACAAGAAAAATGTACTCTACGGCTACGGCTTGAAACGTCCTCGACTCCTCTTTCTCTCTTTCTCTCTTTCTCATTCACATTCCTTTTCAGGAAACGATCCACCCACCTCTCCTTTTTCTACTTCTCTTTATCCTCTCCGCTTTTCAATTCTTCTACCTACCTTCGTCTCATTAGCACTGCCATTACTTATTGATCATCATCATCATCTCATCATCATCTCTCATCATCATCTCATCATCACCATCGTCTCCCGTCATCATCCTCAACATCATCATCATCTTATCACCATCATCTCATCATCATCAACCATCATCAACCATCATCATCATCATCAACCATCATCATCATCATCATCATCATCATTATCACTACAGTGATCACTTTCATCATCACAGCAGGCACAGCAGCAGCATTATCAAACCGCTCTCACCCCTCTCATCCCATCTGATTCGTTATCAATTGCCCATCTCGTATGTCTCGAACCGTCGGATACATCGCTGAAACATCTTCATCGTCCATTCCGCCCGTCATCTTCTTCATAACCATTCCTATCACCATTACCTTCTCCTTCTCCTTCGCCTTCTTTGGCCGACCCCCTTTTCTCTCTCTCTCTCTCTCTCCCTCTCTCTCTCTCTCTCTCTCTCTCTCTCTCTCTCTCTCTCTCTGGTACTTACCTTTATGTTATTATGTCCTTACGCGAGACCTGGATTAGGTTTTCCACACCGCGCTCAAATCTCTCTCTCTCTCTCTCTCTCTCTCTCTCTCTCTCTCTCTCTCTCTCTCTCTCTCTCTCTCTCTCTCTCTCTCTCTCTCT